ATATATATATATATATATATATCGTCAAATAGAACTGCCCGGTAAACCGTAGGCAGAGAGGGAGAAGAGGACAACAAACGAGGGGCTGTGACAATTATATATATTTGATTGTGAGAATTGTGGGAGAAAGGTGAAAACGCCTTCTTAGGTCTCGGTTAGGGCCCGCGCCCTTGGTCGAAGTCCTGTTCGCAGGGTAGGGGCCAAGGGCACCTAACGAGAAGTCAGCGGTTGTCTAGGACAACGGGGAGAGGACGGGTAAGAGAGGCCGTTGAGACTTATGTTGTAGTACATATGTCTAGTACACCGACGTCCTAGTGTCAGGACAATGGAGACCCAGGTTAGAACCCTGGCGGCATATAGTTACAAGGGCTTGGATTGTTGGAGGCCTCAACCCTGAGTCTGTCGACTAATCGGATTGGTTCCTCCCTCGTCAGCATTTGGAGTTGTGGTTGGATTTGTAGCTTTTGATCTCGCGAAGCGACGGGGACATCGCTTAATATAGTCCGGTAAGCTGTCGGCGCGAATACCCTGACAAGGGTATCCGCCCTTGCTTTTGCAAGTGACCGGAAGTACGGGTAGAGGTCTAAAGTGTGCCGCGCGAGACGCGGCTCTGTCTGTTTGGTTACATAGGTAAGTTGCTTGATTAGAATGAAGCGGGTGTGGGCGCGCGGGATTAAGGCGCGCGTGTGATTTTTCTACTTTGGATTATGCAACCGGCATAGTTGGTCGGCCTGACTCTGGCTACTAGGAATAAGAGGTGCCCTTGGTAGATCGTTGGTAGTCTCACGTGCGGAGTAGGGTGCGGGGCGGCCACGGCGCAAGGCGGGCAAGCCGGCTTAGGAGCCTAGCAGTAGCGTGCCTAATGGGAGGCAGGAATGAGGCCTGGGGGCTGCGCCGCACCTGTTCATATGAAATACCGCGCTGACCAGTACCAGGTTTGGGCTTAGCCCTGTAGGTTACAGTACCAGACTGTTACAGCGAAGATATGGGATCGAGGCTGATGGGCGGTACTGCAGGAGCATTGGAGCATTGAAGAGCTGAGGGGTTGAGGGTCTTGCGGGACTATACCCCTTAGTTTTGTTGGGGAGTCCGACGGCAGGCCCGGTAGGCAGGATCGAGGACCAAGTGCCAAGTGAGAGCGGTCCTCCCCCCCCCCAACCGTTTTTTTTTTTTTTTTTAAGTTCCTATTTTTATTTTTTTTCTTTGTTATCTAATTATTATTATTACTCTTTCGTTTTTTTTTTCGGTATGGGGCCGGCCATGAGGGCCAACAGCCTCGTTCAGTGGATACACCACTGAACTGAGGGAATACAGACACCGCATCCTTCGGGACATCCGGTAACATTGGGACGATACAGAGAAGTTTAGCATGGCCCCTGCGCTAGGATAGCACGTATAAAGTCGGGGAGTAAGCCAACACCCGAGCTTGGTGCGGCACGGTGAGCTGCCGATCGCTACGCATCTCTCCCGACCGGGCAGACCATCGGGCCCTGCGCTGTTGGGGAGAGAAGGGGAGAGGATGAGCCTGATTTTTGAACTCCACTAGGCACGATCGGGCTATGGCTACGAGGCGCTGTGCCTAGTAGCGGGAAGGAGAGAGAAGCGAGGCAGAATAGCAGGGCGATATGGAGGTGATAATGAATCCGGACCCGGAGTTGTACCGGGTGCATGCACTATAAGGGAGAAGCAGGCTAGAGACTGGGCGCAGCGACAGAGTATTCCCCGCCAGGTGCGTTCGGAGAGAGAGGAGACATTCGATGCAAGCAATGGCGAAGGGAGCACGAGCAAGAAAAGTGAAAGAAGGGGCATGGAAAGGGGGTTAGTAGCTAAGAAAAAGATGAGGTAGGCGGGGAACAGAAAGTGGGAGTTAGTAAGAAAGGAGGTATCGCTGGCCAGGCAGTGAAAAAAAAAAAAAAAAAAAAAGCGAAAAAAAAAACGACAGGAACATGGACAGCATACCGCGCCAGGTGCGGTCAGGATTGGAGATGGTGAGTTTGGCGTAGCCAGAGAGGCATTGATCACTCGATTCCTATCAAAATCGAGCCAGGGGAGAAGTGTTATGGAGGGTTGGGGACCGGGTGAACTAGATGGTGTTCCTAGATCGAGGAGAAGATTAGTGGAAGGGGAGGAAAACAAGAAAAACAGTGCGCGGAGGTGACGGGGTGCTGGACATGGCCGTTTTGAGGAGTGTAGATCTCACCCGTTTCTCAACCGAAACGGGCGAATAAAGACTTAAAATAGAGGTTTCAGGGCGGTACCAGCAGCATGGCGAAAATTAGTTTTGCCTATAAGTTGGTGGTTTGGCCGGGCTCGGTGCTGAAGGCTGCGCCCAGGAGGGAGGATTGACTACGGTGGTGCCCTCTTCCGCGTTCCAAAGAAAGGTCCAATCCGAGCTTGCCCATCCTAATCGAGGGGGGTGGAGCGAGGCTAGCGTCAGACTGTGGGCAAGTGCAAAGTGGGGGCAAGCGAGCGCCTCTCCGCGTGACGATAGCTCCAATCCATACTTGATTGATCAAGGGAGGCACCATAATCAACCATGGTGCTCATCATCTCCCAGCATAGCTCGTCATAGTGGTTATCGTCAAAGGTGTAGTGGTGCTAGCCTGCGTCATGGTGGCGGCGGAGGTTTCCGACAGATACTTACCTTGCATGAATACTGTGGGCAGTGCATAAACCTGACCAGGGTGTTGGCCAGGTGCGTTCGTATGCTAAGGAAGGGAGACGTCACGGAAGAGAAGGAGGGAGACCGGACGCCTACCTCGGGGAGATTGCGTGTATGATGCACCGAAGAGTAGAACTACAGTATCAAAGTGCACGGTGAGGAAGGAGACTGTTTGAGAGATCTACACGGTGGAAGAAAGAGGGAAAAGCGGGGAGATCGTTAGAGAGGGACAGAGGAGAAGAGGAAACGGAAGCACGAAGGAGCCACCTGATTTTTTATGAGGTTGGTTTCGATTCATATAGGAGTGCAGAGCTGCGCTGAGCATGGAAGAGGGGAGCACGTGTGCCTTACCGTTCTCTAGGAGGAAGGTTCATTCCCACTTTGCTCAAATAGTGAGCAGAGGAACGGGACTGCAGCTGTTCGCAGGCGTGATCGTCTGAGCATTAAGTTACGAGGTGGAGGAAAGAAAGGCCAAGGGGACAGACAGGCGGGTGCATTTTTGTCAGGCCAGCTACAAAACTGACCGGTTCTCGGGCCCACGTGATACGGATACACAGGCTCAGTCTTGGTTGATAGGTGAGTGATCGGAGCTAGAACTGCTAAACTAAGAATGTTTAGGGGTTAGTACTGTTGCTGCTGCGGAGTGCACTTGCGGCACGCTTGGCGATTTCGCTGCTATCTTCGGCGCCAGCAGGCTGCGACTGCTATTTTGGCTATTTCGCTACCGCCTTCGTCTACACAGTACTGAATTGTTGCTCATTCTAGAGGACCGGCTGCTGTTTACCTAATAACGAACACTGCTATCTGCGGCAACTACGACGGCAAGCGCTGATGTTCCGGCTGCTCTCTTGTCGAAGCAACACTGAGGCACATTTCACTGTTGTTGCATCCCGACAGACTACTGTAG